CCCTAACTAGAACTGCAGATCAGTAAACCTTTCCAAACAGCCAACAGCTGAAATACCCTGTCCAAGAAATCCTAAGTGTACCGGGATGTTTTTTAGAGGTAGACTTCACATGGCAGGAGCCCCTGGGTTCAACCCCCAGCACTAATAAATAAAACAGTGTTGAGCTCTGAAGTGTAGAAATGCAGTTGTCAGCCTGAGCACAAAGGCATGGTATGGGACAATTCTGTGCGGGGCCTCAGAAATGTCTCCAGGTGGTAACTCAAGTTCATAAAAATTAGAACCAGAAACATAAAGATTAACATGACAGAACTGTAAGCATATACTTGCTCTTTTTCTCTCTGTTTCATTAGTACTTTTTGTTATTTAATATAATTAATTTATCTACTTATTTTTGTTGTTGTTGTTTTGTTTTGTTTTTCAAGACAGGGTTTCTTTGTGTAGTCCTGGCTGTCCCAGAACTCGATCTGTAGATCTCATTGGCCTCTAACTCAGAGATCCTTCTGCCTCTGCCTCCCAAATTCCGGGATTCCGGGATAAAAGGTGTGCACCACCACTGCCACTGCCCAGTATTTTTTTTTAAGAACTGTAAAGATTTTAAAAAATTATTTATGTGAATGGGTGTCTTGCCTGAGTGTATGTTTGTGTGCCACATACATGCCCAGTGCCCGATGAGACAGAAGACAGCATTGGATCGTCTGGGACTACAGTTACAGAGGGCTGTGAGCTGCCATGTGGGTGCTAGGAATCGAACCTGGGTCCTCTGGGCGTACAGCCAATGCCATCTGGGCCATCTCTCCAGCTCCTTTATTTTTAGCTTTGTGTGTCTCCACACAATTAGCATGTACGCTCCGCATGTTAGTGCAGTGCCTGTGGAGGGCAATCGTGTTGGATCCCACGGAAGTGGAGTTACCTGCTGTTGTAAGCCTCTTGATGCGGCAGCTGGTAACTGAATTCAGGTCCTCTGGGAGAGCAGGAAGCTCTTTGAATTGCTGAGCCATCTCTCTGGACCTTCATTAATATTTGTTGTTGTTGTTGTTTGGGACAGGGTTTCTCTGTATTGTTTTGGAGGTTGTCCGGGCACTCGCTCTGGAGACCAGGCTGGTCTGGAGCTCACAGAGATCCGCCTGCCTCTGCCTCCTGAGTGCTGGGATTAAAGGCGTGCACCACCACAGCCTGGCTCCATTAATATTTTTAAAATTACATTTATTATACTTACCTGGCAGGAGAGATGGTCAGAAGGTTTTCCCAGGGGGAAGCTCGTCCATTGAACTCCAGATGTGCAGCAGCTACCTCAGCGTCCTTGGTGCTTGGTGGGGCCACAGGACTTTGGGGGCTTAAGGGATTTTATTTGAGGCCGTAAAGCTTTTTGGACATTTTGGTGATTCTAGATCAGCCCAGGCCTTACAACAACTGTTATCTGGAGGACTCCTGGGGGAAGTACTCACCCATTGCCTGGCCTGAGAAGCTCTGTCTGTGAGGTCTGGAGATGTAGCCCTGTCTGCCTTCCTTCCCAAAGTTTGTTGAGCACAGAGCCCAGTCCCACCTGAATGCCCAGTGAAGGGGTTTATTTCTCTTAGAGAGCAGAGTGAGTAAATGTGTATGTTTATTTATTTTATTTAATTAATATGTTTGGTTAAGGTGTTTTGTTTTAAATGTTTGTATATGTGAGTATCTCTCTTTCCACCGTGTAGGTAAGAAGGATTATACTCAGGTCATCAGTGTAAGCGTTTCGACAGCTGGGATGGATGGACCAGATGGATTCTGACATTCTGGAGCCAAAGAATACTGAGTGTTACAGCCCGGATAGAAAGGTATCCTGGCAATCATGAGCCAAGAATACTGCAGGTCACAGTAAACATAGCAGCTTCCAGTCCTGCTTCAAAGGGAAAGGTTTCCCCAGTATATCAGCCCTGCTTCTGCAGGAGAGAGCTTCCTGGCGAAGTTGTTACAGTTCGGCTCTAGATCCCTAGAGAGCAGAGTGTAACAACTTCACTTTGCCAGGGAAGGTTTCCCCAGTGAAAAGTATTACAGCCGTGTTCTGCTCTGCTCCTCCCAGGGTCGTCTCTGCTCCAGTGAAAGAAGGTCTCGCCCAAACCTCATTCAAGAGATTTATTGGGAGGAAGAATCCTGGAGAGTGGCTGCCACCCTGCCAGAGGACAGCCCAGTAGCCCCAACAGCCACAAACTGAACAGACACAGGGTTTATATAGGTATTCTTAGGGGGAGGAGTTTTTCCAGAGTAGGGATTGGTCAGATTTCAATCCCTGGCTAGATCTCCTGCTCAGGGATTGGTTAGTTTTCTGCACAGGTGTAGGGTCAGATTTGGCTCTGGTTTCGTGGCCAAAGTATGTTTCTTTCACTGGTCCTTTCTAGCCTTTTGGCTCTAGTTAGGACCAGGGTGTATTTTTTTCACTGACTCTGATTCCAGGGACAAAGTGTGTTTCTTTGGCTAGCCCCTTTTCCCTACAATCAGGCTTGGTAGCAAGTACCTTTACCCACTAAGCCATCTCCCTAGCTCCCCCTGGCTCTCCACTTTAGTGTGTGAGCTTTTGGACTCATGGAAGTGGAGGCCAGAAGAGGAAGTGACCAGGTCTGTCACTTTCCATCCTAGTCCATTGAGATAGGGTTTCACTGAACCTGGAGCTAGTCCTGCAGCTAGCAAGCCCCAGAATCCCCCTGTCCACCCACAGGCATGGCCACACTCTGTTTTTAATGTTGTGCTGGGCATTTGAACTCAGGTCTTATGCTTGAGGAGCAAGTGTTCTTACCCTACCCACTGAGCCATTTCCTTAGTGCTGTTTGTGGTGTTTTTATTTGTTTAATTATTATTTGAGACAAGGTCTCTCTTTGTAATCCTGGCTGTCCTGGAACTGGACATTTAGACCAGACTGGCCTGAAATTCAGAGATCTTCTTGCCTCTGCCTCACAAGGTGTGTACTACTATACACAGCATGTGTGGGGCTTTTAAAGGGTCTTTTTTTGTGTTTTTTTTTTTTTGGTTTAATAATTCAGTAAAGGCTGTTCTTATATTTCTTTTTTATTTCATTTTACATTCCAACCAAAGTTCTTCCTCCCACCCCTCCTCCGGCCTCCCTTACTTCCCCCCAAGCCCATTCCATTCCTCCGAACAGGTAAGGGCTCCCATGTGGAGTCGACAAAGTTCAGCGCATTAAGTTGAGGCAGGACCAAGCCCCTCCCCCCTGCACTAAGGCTGAGCATGGCATCCCCTCATAGGGAATGGGCTCCAACAAGCTAGCTCATGCACAGGGATAGATCTTGGTCTTACCATCAGGCAGCACTCAGATAGCCCAAACTTCACAACTGTCTCCAATATGCAGAGGGCCTAGCTCAGTTCAGTTCCATGGAGTCTCCACAGCTATTGGTCAAGAGTTCATGAATATCCACAAGCTTGGTTCAGCAGTCTCTGTAGATTTCTCCATCATGATTTTAACTTCCCTTGCTCATATATTCCCTCCTCCCTCTCTTCGACTAGATTCCTGGAGCTGGGCCTGGTGCTTGGTTGTGGATCTCTGCATCTGGTTCCATCAATTACTGGATGAAGGCTCTATGATGGTAGTTGGGGGTATTTATCAATCTAATTATAGGAGAAGGCCAGTTCAGGCACCCTCTTCACTATTGCTAGGAGTCTTATCTGGGATCATCCTTGTGGATTCTTGGGAATTTCCCTAGCACCAGGTTTCTCCCTAACCCCATAGTGGCTCTTTCTATCAAGATATTGGGAATCAATCTACCTCAAGACCCAGAGATACTACTCTTGGGCATATATGCAAAGGATACTCAATCATACCACAAAGACACTTGCTCAATAATATTCATAGCAGCATTATTCGTGATAGCCAGAACGTGGAAACAACCTAGATGGCCCTCAACTGAAGAATGAATAAAGAAAATGTAGTGCATTTACACAATGGAGTATTACTTAGCTGTAAAAAAACAATGACATCATGAAATTTGCAGGCAAATGGATGGAACTAGAACCAACCATCCTAGGTTAGGTAACCCAGACTCAGAAAGATAAACACCGTATGTATTCACTCATAAGTGGATATTAGATGTAAAGCAAAGGATAACCAGACTATATAGTCCACAGCTCCAGAGAAGCTGGGTAACAAGGAGAACTCTAAGAAGGACACATGGATCACCCTGGCAAGGGGAATTAGATGAGATTTCTTGGGTAAACTGGGCGCGAGAGGGTTCGGTAAAGGGGAGGGGATGGGGGATGAGAACATGAGGGAACTGGATTGGGGGGAGGGATGGAGAGGGAGAACAAGGAAAGAGATATCTTGATAGAGAGAGCTTATGTTTCTATGTGATCAGGAGGCCAGACAGTTTTGTTAGGTGGTGCAAAGCCTGCTTGTTATTACGTTTACTTGTTTTGTGTATGTGTTTCAGTGTGGGCGTATTCAAACCTTGGGGCCCCCTGTGGAAGTCACAGGACAAATTGCTGGAGTCAGTTTTCGGCTTCTACCAGGTGGGATCCGGGGATTGAACTCAGGTTGTCAGAATTGGCAGCAGATGCCTTTTCCCGTCCAGCCGCTGAGTCATCTTGGAGTCCGGTCTTTTCCCTTCTTCAGGGATAGGTCACGTTCCCTCTGCCCTTCTGTGCTTGTTTTCCCCAGGCTTCCTGTTAGAGGCCTTCGAAGCAGGAGGATCTTGGGAGATCTGAGGTCATACATTTGAGCAATTGAGAGAATTCCGGAGGCTGTAAGGTAAAGAGGAAGGACTTTGCGTTAGCTACAGTGTCTTGAGAAAGTATTTCGTCACTCCGAGCCTCAGTTTCCCTGGGTGTCAAGTGGCTCCTTCTGTGCAGCATGTCGACTTCGGAGGGAACCAATTTATTCAACAGGTGGCAATTCCCAAGGTGAGAGAGTCAGGCTCAACCCGCAGAACCAGGACAAAGGCAACTCCCCGGGGCGGGTCCCAGAACGGTTTCCACCTGGGGCTGCTGAGAGGGTGATTGGGAGGGGCATGGGTTCCTCTGTCCGACACCCTGGGCAGATGGGATCCTCCGGGACTGGCCGGCTGGTGCGAGGGGCTCGCCCGCAGGTCAGGGCGCGGGAAGGGGCGGGGCTGGGCCGGTGGGCGGAGCGGCGTGAGAGCGGCA